AACTGAACAGCTTCAAACGCACGGTCAGACGCGCACACACACACACACGGACGGACGGACGGACGCCCGTTCGCTGGGTGTAAATGCCATTTGGAGTTCAGCCTGTGGGTGCGTGTGTGCAAGCTGGGAAGTAATGTTATACGTGGACGCCATTCACACCCCCTTGCATCCTATATCCCGTCGTCCAGGTGTGTCCTGGCAACGCGTAAACACACACACACACACACCTGTTCCCAGCACGTGTGTAAGCCCAGCTGTTCAAGCCTCTCGACCATCTGTCCGGTCAATGCCCTCGTCTCTCCTCATTCATTCGCTCTCTCATCTACTGAACGGATGGTTGTCCTTTCCTCCGTCTACACCGCCAAATCCAACAGCTTCTCCATCACCAATCTCCTTGGTGATGGGAATGGAAAAGCTGCCACCTACTCAGTCAGTTTACCTCGAAAAGGTCGTGCCAGAGCAGCCCAGCAACGCATCAAAGCCAATGCAAGGGAGAGGGGAAGAGTGCACACCATTGGAGCAGCTTTTGAGGCGTTGAGACGGTCAGTTCCAGTCTCCAGTGAGTGCAAATTGACAAAACTCTCAGTCCTACGCATTGCTGCGGCGTACATTGAAACATTGGTGGCATGTTTGGAGGCCAATCGGATTGAAGAACGGCAGGCCGAAGGTGTGGATGTGGACACGGAGAAGCCGGAGGATCTTTCGTGCGCTGCTAAGACCTCTTCAAGTCATCTTGCTGCTGATGCAACTGCAATGATGCATTTCAATCATTGCTCACAGAAGTTAATGAAACGGATACAAAAGGAGTGCAAGGAAAATGCTCTTCATCTGACTTAATGCATATTTGTGTTAACAGTGCTTTTGACCTCTCAACTGTGATATGTCCATTTCACTCTCCTCTGACTGAGAGGGCGCTGGTCTGTAGTCAAGAGGGAATGTGTGTATAATTTACTGTCCTTTGGTCATTGTTTTCTCTTTTTGTGCCTGAATTAGTAGAGTGAAGGGAGGAGAATACGATAATGCTGCCAAGAAAGTACTCAACAG